ATCAAGTAGCTTTTGGAATAAAACACCAATTTTTTTAAAATTAAACACTATCTAAAGATTTGCATCGAAGCGTTTATTTTTGATAGTGATTTTAATCACTGTCATATATCATTATACTAGATCCAACTATACCACGTCACAACTGTGCCGCGACCCCCCTGTGCTGGGTTTTTTTTTTTCTTATCGTAATATTTAAATATTTTATTATAAAATACCAATTTATTTACTTANAGAAATAATATTTTTTAATAAACCCTTTTTCATTCGACATACTTTATCTTAATCGAGATATTAAGGAACCAGCAAATCAAGTAGCTTTTGGAATAAAACACCAATTTTTTTTAAATTAAACACTATCTAAAGATTTGCATCGAAGCGTTTATTTTTGATAGTGATTTTAATCACTGTCATATATCATTATACTAGATCCAACTATACCACGTCACAACTGTGCCGCGACCCCCCTGTGCTGGGTTTTTTTTTACACATCGTATTATTAATAAATAAATATTATTTTAGAGTCAATGATTTTATTGGGATCAGTACCTCGTATAGAGCTGATCAAACTAATAGATAGACAAGTAGGTAAAGAAAGACGTATGCAAGTTGTAGCAAAATGGCAGAAGGAAGCACAAGAAAGACTCGAAGAAGCTGAAAAGAGACGTCGAGAAATTAAAGAGAGACGACCATCTAGATTTGAGGTTACACCAGCCCCAGATAGTCTACAAATAAAACATTCAACGAGCTCTCAATCGCTTAAAACAAGCTTCCCACAAAAGGTAATATCAGGAAATATATGTTTTATATACTCATTATTAAAACATATTAAGATATATTTAAATAACCAATTGTACTAAATATTATTGTTTATCAACAGTGTTTTATAAAGCTCCGAAAACATTTAAGTTTTAATTGTAAGTTTCGATAAATTAATTAAAATTTATTTATTTTTTAATAAGATAAAATCATTAAAGAAAATTATTCATAAACTAATTAATTACTAAAAATTTTTTAGTTTGAATGCAGTTCAATGTCAAGAAACAATCCCAAAAAATCAATTTTGAAAAAAACAAATTCATTCAATCTACACAACCTAACTCCAATGCAATTAACCCCGTCAGTTACACCATACTCCACAATAACTGGTGCTGAGAGTCGGTAATGAATAAAAATGTGATAAAATATATTTCTTATAGTTTAATCATAATTTATTTACATGATTGTAGTATACGGTTAGCTTTTGAGGCTATTTTTCACAAATCTGCTAATTTGCGTGATGCCAACCCTGAACAAAATTGTTTAGACGACGAAGATAAAGAACCTAATTCATCGCAAATCATTCAAGTTTTAAAAAAAGTGCAATTGGTATTACTTTGATTAAATAATACTTGTTATTTTAAAATTTAAGCTGATTGATTTTTTTTAGCCTAAAGAAAGAGTAATAGATATGTCTCCAGAAGAGCAAAATGAATGGGAACAAAAAGAAATGAACAAATTATTAGACTTTGGATCTTGTCACATAGATCCTGCTCCTTTCCAGTTAGTGGAGAGAACGTCATTACACAAAGTTCATTCAGTGTTTTCTTTGCTCGGTGTAAATCACGCATATGTGACTGCTATAGGTCGTTTAGTCGGTGTTGTTGGTTTGAAAGAGGTAAACTTTTATTAAATATCCCTTGTCATTATTGAATATAATATTTTTTTAATACAAATATTTTATATTAGCTACGAAAAGCGATAGAAGACACAAATTCAGGTAATAAATTTACTCATAGACAGACTGTCGCAGGTTTTCAAAGTACAGCAATGGAATCTCTATTAAACTCTAAAAATACTGACGAAGATGATCATGATATACCTTAAAGATTACCAAACATTAATGCTATTGTCATCAAATTAACGATAGATTATGTTTAGTGATACTTGAAAGTATAGAAACCGATTCGTTTTCAGTATAAATATAGATAAGGTAGAATTTAAATTAATTAGTATTATATTTTACTTTTTTTAAACAAATAAGCGCCTCATCTATTTATACTCTACGATAAGGCATAATGACGATTCTTTGAAACGTAACTGTTTTTTTATACAAATATACCAATTATAAACTTTTGTCTATGTGATAATTGTCAAAAAAAAAAAGATTTCTTTTGTAATTTTTTTTTTTTTGATAATAAAAATGTATAGGCTAATTATTAATGTTTATGCTGTTAATCGCTGTTAATGTTTATTTTTTCATTATTTTATGTTATCTTATAACATTAGACACATGGCAATATTTAACTTTAACATTGATAATTTATATAATTTGTATGTACCTAATACATTTAGTTCCCAAAATCAAAATAAATTTTCTCAGTGTTGTGACATTTATTTCCTATCGTATGTAATTAATGGGATATAAAAAATGTGATAAATATAACTCTTAAATCAAATTTTAATTCACCTAAAATTTTGAGTTAAATAATTTCACAACTAATTTTACATTTATAAATAATTTTTTTACCAAAACTATTTTTAATATCAAATGACTTTTAGATTTCTGCTAAATATTTTATTGTAGATTGTTACAAACAAAAATATGTTATCAAACCTTATTGTAATATTCAAATTATATTGTATTTTTTATAAAAAAAGTAAATTATAACTATTTTTTTATTATTAAAATGTTTAAATGAATTATGAATTTATTTCTTAATGATATAAATTCCAAAAAATTTTATTTTCAATTCATTTTTGTATTTGATTTTAAATGTTTAATTACTTAAAAAGTATAATATTATAAAAATGGTTAAAGATATTTTTCTTCTGAAATATGTAAAATAATGTTAATATAATCTCATTAATGTAGAAATGTATGAAAATAACGAAGCCAAAAATATTAATTAAAATGCAAATTTAAGAACTAACGAATTTTGAAGTTTTAAGTTAATATTTTAAGTTTTATGATACTGAAATTTTGTGTAATAAAAAACTGGTGTATTTACGAGGTCTATTGATCTTCCATGAAAAAAATATAATTATTTTTCAATTGTTTATGATATTGAACATTTTTCCTGTGACTATTGTCTCCCAAGGTAAAATCTTAGTAAACCACTAAAATCATGTGTATTTATATTCGCACAAATGTGTAATACACGTACCAACCACTACACAGCTTAAAACATAGTCGATAAACTAGTTATATAGATAAAAGTAATTTTTTTATTTTTAAATGAATGTATAAATACATACAATAGTAAAGACTTCAGTTGTAAAATATTTTTTTTTATGCGCGTCTTGACTGTATAATATTTCTAATATTTTTTTTACTACAGTTACTATAAAAATATTAATAGTACTCTGTTTGTTACAATTGTTATTTTTTTTATTTAAATTTTACAAAAGTTTTAAATAACCCAAATGCAGTGCAATACTAATATATATTGATTAATGCCTATTAGTTATCATAAATCATTACACGAATTTAATTATTGACCACTAAAAATGTAAACCCATTTAATTATAAAGTAACCAAAAATGTTTGATTGTGGTAATAATAAATAAGATAAATTATTATAATAGCTTTACTGGACATTTTAATAGTGCTTATATTTTAAATTTTGGAAATCAAATCAATCCATTAAAAGTACTTTAAGAATTGGAGCCAAACTATAATCATGTTTTTTATTAATAGATGAAAAAATATTTCAATATTTTAAAATCTAAAGCCATTTATTTGTTTATTATATAATTATAATCACAAAATAAATCTACCACTTTTTCTCAGCTCTCACTGAACCGATTTCTTTCAACGATACGTCAAAATATCACAAATCGTATCTAATCGATGACATTACCCTAAAAAATTGGAAAAATTTCCCTCGTGTCCCGTAAATGGGAGAAACATTCAAAAAAGTTACTAATTTATAAATCGCTAATTTTCGAAATTTTTTAAATTTTTTTTACTTATAACTGCCATAACTTTTTCAAAAATGAACAAATGAATATATTTTTTCTTATAGATGCTTGATGTCTTTACCTATTATTTGATATATTTTTTTTTATAAATTTGACCCTTTACCTGCCCACAGGGGGGAATTAAAAATGACAACTTTTTCATCTTAACTTTTGAAAGTGTTCCGGAAGGTCTGACACTTTTATATATATCTTACATTAAAGCTAATGTAATGTTCTTTATTATGGAAAAAAATAATTTGATCTCTGGAATTGTCTTCGTGGTGAAAATGACTACCGAATGCAATTTTTTTGTGAAAATTCTCGATTTTATATTTTACATTTTTTACTTTAAAATGCTATAACTTATTGAAAATTGTATGGATCAACACAATTTTTTTATGAGAAATAATATTTATATCCCTTTTTCATTCGATATACTTTATATTAATCAGGATATTAATAAAGAAATAGCAGATCATGTAGCTTTTGGAATAATCCACCAATGTTTTAAAAGTAAAAACTATCTAAAGATTTGCATAGAAGCGTGTTTTTTTATAGTGATTTTAATCACTGTCAGATATCATAATACTTGATCCAACTATGCCACGTCACCACAGTGCCGGGACCCCCTTGTACTGGTTTTTTTTTTATTCTGTAAATACACCAAAAGTGTTTAAAATTTACCTTGTCTATAATTTTAAAATATAGTGGACATAAAAAGACCAATTTAGTTGTTTATTAACTTTTTTTAATTAGAAAAGTGAATAATAATTAATATTAAACAAACGATTCGATCAACTTCAAATCAGAAGTATATTTCTTTCATTATATGTTTATGAGATTTCTATTTATAACGTTTTATAATATTTTCCTATTTATAAAGTTACTTATGATAATATATCCAGGAACCAACCCAACCCAACCTAAGGGGTCATCAAGTTCATTTATCCTTTTAAATATTTTTATAAAGTACTGAAACTAGTTTTTTGGAAACTAGCTATAACCGGTTAAAACCTATTTTTCCAATTTTGTTAATCAAAATTAAAATTAAAACAGTAACCAAAAACCAATCTTCAAAACCGAAACAAACCCCTAAACAAATTGAACAATTTTAATCCCTGATTTTTACTATCCAATTTTTTGTTTTACTCTGTAATCCAATTAAAAATTGTAAAATATGTACAAAATTTCTTAAGGGGAGATGAGGTGATTGCCTCCTTAAAAAGGAATACATGTACAGAGTAATTCATTAATCTACTTAAATAATCGAAGTATAAAAATAATATTGAGATAATTTCTTTTTAGTTTCTTTGAGGTGCATATTATTCCTTAATTATCAATCATAAATTATTTTTATGTATATCTCTTATACCTTATTATAGTGATAAATTATTTTGTTTAAATAGCTTTCATACATAAATAACTAGCTTATTTAATAAATAATGATCAAACAACAAAATGAGTCATCGATAACAACTTTTAAAGCGGTATATCTGAAGTTTTTAAAATTTTTATATCTAGGTTGAAGGAATAGTATGACTGAGAAATGACTAATCATAAAAATAATAACACCCGCGTTCATTATCAGCCATCACTACAATTAAAATTTATTTAAATCCAATTTTTTTTTTATAAATTACATACTTTCTGAAAAATTTTCCTCTATTCTTTTATTACTTATTATATGAATAAAAACAGATTTCTTTTTGTTAATTTCAAATTTTAATACTGAATTTAATTAAGGTGAAAACTAGTTTCATTAATATTTTTTACTATAGTAATGGTCTCATATGTTTAGATAAATCGCTGGTCTTAAAATAATAAAAATTCGTTAAGTGGAAGTTATTAAAATTCCTATTATTGCAAGAGAATAATAAAAAATATAATTTAAATTCGTAATTTTTTCTAATCTTATTCGCTGTATACATTTTATTTAATCAATGGATAAATAATTTAGATAAACTAAAGCTTTTATTAAATTTTCCAACATGAAAATATAGGATAATTCATTTACCTTGAACCACTTTATCAATCAATAAAATAAAAATAATATTGACATAATAATGATTTATTTTTTTAAATGGCACTAAACATAATTAATTAGCTAATTTATTAGATAATGATCTAGCTATGAAAATTATAGCAAATTTTGGACCAGTATTTCGGAAGTTATTAACATTTCATACTAATGGCTGAAAGTAAAACGCGGGTGTTATTGTTTTTAAGACTAATTAATTATCGACCTTATTCTTCACCTAGGTAAAAAAATATACAAAACTTCCGAAATACTAGTCCAAAAATTGTTACTGACCAATTGCTTTATTAGTTAGGTCATTATCAATTATTTAATTAAATATTCTGCCATCTGAAAAAATAAAATTGACACCATTTTAAGGCATAAATATGAAAAATGTTTTATAATTGATTTATCAAGGAATATATGTATCCAAAAGGAACTTCAAAATTTTTTTATTTAACTGTTTCATATTTTTGATTTTATTATTTCATTTTGGTAATCTATGACTACCGATCGATAATAGTACTGAAATAATATTTTAGAAACTTTATTCAATACAATTTTTATATAGATAATGCATGTATATTTTTCAAAATAAATTTAAACAGAAATTTAAGTTTAGTTATAAAATATTATTGTAGTTTTTCTTAATCATTTCGACCAACAAAATATTCTATTTTAATTGCTTCGCATATGTCAATAACACATGACCATTTGTTTTCATCATTCAAAGTATACATTTTTTCATTAATCATTTTGTTTGGTATAACTGATTGATACTTAGATAAGTTTTCTATTCCATTGACAATATTATAGTCTTCACTAACATTATTGTCTAGCTTTTGATTAGCAAAATAATTGACAATTAGGTAACCTACTTTGTTAAAAATTTTGTAACACTGGTCATTATTAAAATTATCATTGTAACTTTCGAAATGTTGTTTGATTTCATTAAACTTTGGAATATTAATTTTGTTTAACTTCAAATAATTGTTTAAATTATTAAGATTTTTATTAATTGTTGAAAATAATAAAGTATTTTTACCTTCTGATACGACAAAAGCACTATAATATGATAAAATAAATACATATTTTAACAACCTATTTTTCACCGCAACATTATAATAACGGGCATAATCAACTTCATTAACGTCATTAAGTAATACTTTCTTAAAATCTTGTCCATCTGGTATCATCACATATTCATTTTCTAAGTACTCACTGTGAGAGCATGCACTTATCAACGAAAGTTCTACCCATATAATCAGAAAAATTGTGAAAATCGTAGTATTATTCATGTTAGTTTTCGATCTAAGAAATTTTATTTTTCAAAAAAAAAATATCACCTTAGTACTTTAATATTAATTATAAATGTGGTTGGTGTAACACACAACTCAGTTTTTATATGATTATTAAAATTTAACCTTGTTATTTTCTAAAAAATAAATCATGTCAATAGTTATTTAATTAAAAATAAATGTATTTAATTTATTGCTTTACTTAAAAAATGAATTATTTTGTCATATTATCTAAGAAATATTTCTCAACAAAGTAGTATATATTAATGTTTTGCATATTTTTTCACAATACAATATTTGACTAGTTTAAACAATTTAATTAATTTCTTTAAAAACGAAATAATTCAACATTATCAATAACAGAATCATTTATGTATTATTAAACTCCATTAAAAGTTATGCAAGGGAAGTTTCAGAATATTATTAGGCTACATATCTAGAATCATATTTGTTCAAATAAGTGTTTTTGAAATGAATAACAATACTACAAATCATATTGTTTAAATATATCTTCAGTACATACAGAAAAAGTTTACTATTCGCAATTTTTGTAATTATAAAAATATGTAGTATAATGTATAATACATTAATAAAACAAATCTTTCTTAAATTTTCGACTTTTGACTTCTAATTCTAAGATTGAAACTAGGGCTTCAAACCCAAAATAATGTGATCTCTGATATTAATATTCAAAAAATTCGGTTTCAAAGCTCTGATTCAATGCATCAGTTTGAAAAATATTAATTGTTAGGCTAAATAATATCCTATTAGCTTAATTTTGAGTTAAGTTAGTAAATGGATTAGGTTTGAAACAATTTTTAAATCTAACATTCCAATTGTATTTGTTTTGTAAATTATATTGATATAATTTTCCAAGTTTGTACTTGAGCATCAATCCCCTAAAAATAAACCCTTGTACAATAAAATTCATATAAAATGTATTTAACTATTTAATTAATTCATCATATCCTATAATTGATTGACCATTGATTTTAACATGAAAAAAAACTATCCAATTTTGCATTTTTGAAAAATAAATTAAATTTTTGGGCTTGTAATAATAAGAATTAAGTTTAAACATACTGAGTTGAAATGAAACGTAATATATAAATAAAAAATAACAATCAGTTTTTATTTTAATTAAATAATAAGATGTACAGTACAGCAGGTATTCAGTAAAATGGGGTTGATGCATTCTAAAGACTAGTGATGATTGTGATTTGACAGTTATTATAATTACTGTCGTAAAACGTTTCGACGTATATTTGAAAAAAAGTTTAAAAAAATGTATGATATCTACTAAAAATTACATTCTTTTACTTCAGTGTTTGATTAATCACAATGTGTACATCACCGAAACGTTTTTCTTTTTTTAATACTATTTTACATTAATAAGCTTTAATTTAAAATAAAGTAAGCATTCTGTTGCTATGCAAAATATTACTATTCAGAATAATTCATAAAATAAATGTCACCCTAATATTATATAGTCTATGTATTTTTATAAAAAAAATTTTCCTCTTTTTATGATTGCGCCAAATCTTTCAAACTAATATCATCATGTCTATGACAATTAAATATTTGTTGTTAAATTGTTGGCAAAATAATCATGTAACCGAAAATTATTATTAAGTCTTAATATACTTTTTATAACAATGAAATTATTTATTTTAACATTTAACATAAACATATATCCTCATAATATAAATTGGAATTACGCTCGATAAACAACTATTTCTATAGCAACAAACAAACATTTTTACTTAGTTTGAGTTTTATGTTTAAGTCATTAGTTGATTCATAATGAATGCTTAATTAATTTCGACAATTAATTGAACGCGGATTTTACTTAATATAATACTAATAAATACTTAAAATATCAGAAAAATGGCTGATCAAGAGACAAAAACGGAAAGTATAACTATAAAAAAACTGGTAAATATTATAGTTCTATTTCATATCAAACAAAATCATTAAATAATAGCTGGATTGCATTCATTAGGCGTTGGCACTAGCCTTTGGATGCTTAGAACTTTATTATTCTACGCTTAAGTACCGGGATGTGTTTAATGTATTTTTGAGTATTACTATAATATAATATATATATATTATATAGTTGAAACTATTAATTTTTAATTATTGTTCATATGATTGGATTCATAGGATTGCTATAAATGTTAATAAGTGTAGTACATAACATGTGTGATAAAAATTAAATATACTGTTAAAAGTTAAAGTAAACATGCATTTCAGATAGCGATTGACTTTTCATAGAAATAACTTGAAAATTAAATTGAATTTATTTGCCTTTTAGGTATACGAATATTTTTTATTCAACCAAACGTTACTTTAGACAATAATTAAAAATAAATTATGAATTATTGTGCTAGAATATCTCAAAATACCTGTACTTCTTTAATATATGAAATATTACCCGTAAAAAATTATTAAACAATATTCCAAGCAGATGTATGAAAAAAATTTTTGGTGGGCCGCCACATTTCTAAATCCTAAACACTGGTTTTATTAATAGCTTTTAGTATAAATAACGTTATTCTTTCAAAATTATTGCTTAAATTTGAATAAACAAACTATTAATAATTAATAAAATTACAATTAGTATTAACTAACATTTTTTTTACAAAATATTGTTTATTTCCCAAGGTAAATCAAATTAAGTCTTGTACATTTTTACCATATATGAAAGAATCGGATTGGAATAACGATGTATTAACTGATATTGAAAAATTTGTTGGTACAAACCAAAAACTTCTTTGTTTATATTATGATGATGATGTTCTTAAAGCTACTTCCTATATCCCAAGTTCACAAAATGATAGTATTATGTGGTTCTTAAAAAACGACGAGGATGAAAATATTTGTTTAGATGACAAGCAATTCTTAAAGTCAATATCATTTGGCAAATTGGATACAGAAGTGGAAAAATCTATGTTTAATATGATGGACTCATTATATTCTCCTTTTATATTTTCATGGTCAGAAAGTATCCTTTTAATAAACTACAACAGTGTATTTAATAATATAAATAATTTTGTTAAGAGAATAAACTGGTCTTGAATAAAAAGCGATAGTTCTGTTAAACAGAGTTTAAAAATATACTTTAAATACATATTCGAATATTTTAAGCAGCGACGTGGTGTGACGTAGTGGGTCATTTTGTCACCGCCTTAGTGTTAATGTTTAGCTTCGCTATTTGCTATTCGTTTCATTATGATCATCCATTCGGGAGCTTTAACAGTGCTCACCTTACCCCCTTACTAACATATCAATGCCATTAGATTGCGTCAGGCCAATTTATAAATCCTGACAAATCGTAAGGTAAAGCTGATACCTAATATTGAAATAGAGGATAAGNATATATATTTTAATCACTTTTTTAAATAATTAAAAAAAAAATTAATTGGGGAAAATCATGAACATAAAGAAGGGAGTAACCTGTAAAACAAAACAATTGCTTAAATCATCTTCTTCTTAAAAGAACATTTGTTGTCGTGACTTCCAAATATGTGATGTTACTTCTTATATTTGCACTTCTATGGCTTCTTACATTTTACACTTTTGAGGTTTTCCAAAATATTTTTTTTTTTTGCATTTTTAGTAGCCACTTTTTAGGGAATGAAATTTTTTTTTTTTCTTAACTTCATCTTATAGGGGAACGAGACCAATTTTTAGAACAATATAGAGTTGTTATTCAAGAATTATGCTCATTAAGATACAAATGTATTGGCTTGCCTAGCATATATATACTACCCACTATTAAAGACAATTGCATTAGTGAAGAAGCTCTAAAAGTATTGGAAAGTTAGTTTTTATTGATACTTGATGGTTTGAATATTTCAGTTGGCAAGGTGTTTTGTTTAGAGACATAGACATATAACATAAAAAACATGTGAAAAAAATAAAACGATAACTATTAATTGAAAAAAAATTATTTAAAGTATTTTGATTATAACATAAATTAAAATTTGAAGAACATTGTACTTACTCATTCTAAATAATAAATATCACTATTAAATTACTTACTATTAAAGTTTAATTTTGAATAGGTTTTTTTTAATTAAAATATTTGATCTTTACAAAAAACAAGATAACTCCATTTTTCAAAATTTTTTAGAAAGCGGAGAAACTAGATTTTTTTTAACACGTATCTTTATTAAAAAATAAATTTAAGAAACACTATATTATTTCTAAATTAGTCATATTATTTTTTTTTTTACTATTATATTCGTCGGTTTAATATTAATTTCATATCATCAAAAAATGGAGTTCTGTTTTTGCACAAAGCCCTTCATTATGAGAACATGTTTTAACTTTTGTGCAGTCAGAATAGGAAAAAGCATTGTACATTGGATCTAGTTATACCTTGCTTTTATTCACAGTTATACCTGTGGTCTTATTTAAATAACTCCTAAAATTAAACAAAAAGGAAATAAAAATCGAGATTGTACACGACTTGACATAGTCGTACATAATTATAATAGTATGTGTGAAATAATAATTTTAAACACGAACATATTTATAAATATTTAGATGTAATGAATGTGTACATAACCGAAATTCAAGTGTGTTTAATGGATAATGGTAGAGTTCCATCACGTTGTGAATATATGATGGAGCATATAATGGATGAATTAGATTACTGGAAAAATAAATGTAAGTTTTCCATTAATTTTCAATCTCTAAAAATCTCAAATTCTAAAAAAAATTTTGAGAACTTCCACAAATCTATCCATCATTTCATAAACTTTTTCCTTGTGGTTCCATTCTAGTGCTATTCTGATTTTTTTGGCTCTCCTCTCCTGATTATATGGATTATATATCATTGTATCCTTTGGCCTTAGATAAAACTAATTTTAACAAACGCTAGTTTCGCCATGTCGTTCAGCTCCTTATTGTATCTTCTCAGTCATAACCCCGTTTCTTCATCGATGATAGATCCACATATTTTTCCCCATACTTTATTTTTGTAAGTTCTCAAGTCTTTTTCAGTTTTTTTGATCGTCATTTATGCTTTACAACCATACGTGAACTTAATATTACTCATAAAAAACTAAAAAGTCAAAATTTTTCTTTTTTATCATCATTTAATATTGACAAATAAAAGTCATCAAGGAAAAAATACATTATGAAAATTGTCCACCTAGCCATTCAGAGTCCATCCACCCTTATTTATACTAATTAGGATTGGGTTGTCAGTTAACCGAAAAGATTTTAACTAATCATAATCTAGTCAAAAAAAACTTTAAAGTTGCTATTTTATTTATTTTTGTTTTACTTTTTCAATGCTAAGCACTAAACCATTAAAATTTTGGAAGTTAAGTTTATTTAACGTATTTAGAATAATCTATAAATAACTTTGATTTCATTTTTAGCTCCAATGTAAAGGTATTAATTTTACTATGATGTGATTATTTTATGTCTATTGCTACTTTTTCTCAGCTCTCATGGGACCGATTTCTTCCAACGATATGTATAGATGATATTTGACAATGATTAAAATCACTATCATAAGAAACGCTTTAATGCAAATCTATAAACAATGTTTAACTTTAAGAAATTGGTGGACTATTCTAAAAGTAAAATTACCTTCTATTTCCTTATTGATATCCTGATTACAAGTTTAATGATATATAAGTGTTACATATGAATAAATATTTAATAAATTTATTCAAATTCGTCGGCCATTTATACATAGAAGATAGATCGTCGGGACAAATTATTATTTTCTAATTTATAGTATGTAACATAAGCTTTAATATAATATTTAAAAGATGCGATATTTCCGGAACATTTTCAAAAGTTAAGTTGAAAAAGTTCTACTTTTTTATACATATGTTTGAAGTTTTTAACGGCCTCTGTATAGGGAAAATAGTCTGAATTAAAATAAATTTTGTCGTATGAAATAGGTATATAACATGTATTTTAAAAAAACTGTATTGATCCATACATTTTTTAAAAGGTTATAGCAATTTAAAGTTGAAAATATATAATGGGAAATTTTAACACAAGAATAACATGTTTTGAACTACGGCAGCCTTTTACACATAGAAGATAAGTTGTCGGGGTAATTTTTTTTTTAATTTATAGTATGTAACATAAGCTTTAATTTAATATATGTGTAAAAGACGCAGTATTTCCGGAACATTTTCAACAGTTAAATAGAAAAGTTGACATTTTTTAATCTCCCTCTATGGGAACGTAAAGTGTCGAAATTTCTAAAAAAAAAAAAAAAAAAATGTCAAATAAAAGGAAAATACCTAAAGTTTCTATTTAAAAAAAATTATTTTAATTCGTTAATTTTTTAAACATTTATGAAAATTTTATGAAAAAGTGAAAAAATGTAAAAATTTACTTATTTTTTAAATCGTAATTTTTTAAGGAATTTGACCAATATACAGAGAACTAGGGAAGTTTTTTCAATTTTAAAGGGCAATGTTTTCAACTAGATACAATTTGTGATCTTTTAAAATATCGTTGAAAGAAATTGGTCTGGTAATAATGGCAACAGACGCAAAAAAACTCTTCATAGTAAAATTTATACCTTCTTCTTCACATCGAAAATAAAATGTATTAATTTATTCATGTTTCAAGTTAAAATCTAACGTCATAAAACAAAATTGTATAATTTTTACAAAAAAAATGAATATTGCAATTTAAAATAAACACATATGTTCTTTAAAATTATTTTCGAAACATTTGTCATTCATTGTTTAATATATTTCAAAAAAAACGAAAATATTACAATATTTTTTAAGTATTCAGATCATTTTACCCCAAGTGTCAACTTACCCCACTCTTCCCCAATGATATACTAGCAGCATAATAATAAATTATAGCTTAGTTAAACAACGAAGCCTAAAATCAAACCGTACTCTTTTATTTAAAATATTAATTTTATCAATGGTTACACCTGTTTATATGCACATGAACAAAGGTGAAAAAATATATACAGTGTCTCGTATCTAACTAATAATGCATATAACTTTTGGCATAATTATTATTTTATTAAATTTTTTTTAAAATAATTATTGCCTTCTTAGACTATGTTTAAAGCATATTTTTTATTATTTATCACTAAAAATGTTAACATTATATAACATATAAGAGTGGGAGGAATAGATCACAGATTGATTATTTTATGTGAAAGAGAGAGAGCGTAAAGCGAGTAAAAGATTGATAAGGTATACCAGGCGAGAGTATAACTACACAACATAGACTGATGGCAATGGAATTTTAATATACCGGAAAAAGAATGAACAAAAATAAAAGAAACACAGGGGAAAAATTGAAGATCCAATGGTGGGAATTGAAAGGGAAAAATGAAAAACAGTTTGTTAAGACGGTAAAAGAGAGGACAGTGTGGATTGTCGATGGAGATATAAATAATGTGTAGAATAGATTTGCTAGTTGTGTCAAGAATATTGCAAAGGAGATTGTTGGTGAGAGTAGGAGTAGAATGCCAGGAAATAAGGAAACCTAGTGATGGGATGAGGACGTTAAAAAAACATAGTAAGTAAGAAAAAGCAATTCAATGTATAGCAGAAGAACAAAAGGAGAGTAAGTAAGTAAGGCGAAGTATAANCCTAGTGATGGGATGAGGACGTTAAAAAAACATAGTAAGTAAGAAAAAGCAATTCAATGTATAGCAGAAGAACAAAAGGAGAGAGAAGATTAGATGGAGTTTAAACGCTTGTGGAAAGAACCCAAGTGTGCAGTAAGTAAGGCGAAGTAAGGCGAAGTATAAGAAGTATGATGAGTTATATGATAGGCTAGGAACAAAGGAAGGCGAGCAAGAAATCTATAGAGTTGCAAAGATAAGAGAGAAAAAGTCTAAAGATTATCATTATATAAGGTGTATAAAAAGTGTTGATAATAAGGTACTCTCGAGTGATGATGATATAAAAAAAAGATGGAAAGAGTATTTTGAAAATTATTGAATGAGGAGTACCCCAAAGAGACATTAGAGGATATTTCGTGGAATGAGGAACTGGTAGATTTAATTAGTGAGAAAGAGGTATGGGTGGCTGTGGCATCAATGAAAAAGAATAAATCAGTAGGACTAGATGATGTGGCAGTAGAAGTATGGAAAATATTAGGTGGTGTTAGCATAAGGTGGTTAAAGGAACTTTTAAATAAAATCTTATTAGAAAGGAAAATTCAAAATGAATAGAGGAATAGTATTGTGGTGTCGATATTTAAAGGTAACATACAGGAGTGTGGAAATTATAGAAACATAAAGCTTATGAGTCATAGTATGAAAATTTGGGTAAAAGCCAGTATTTTGTGTGAGGCAACTAATAGAAAAGTTTAGGGAAATGAAGAAAAAGCTGTGTATGGTATTTATAGATTTGGAGAAAGCGTATGACAGAGTACCGAAAGAGGTTTTTAAGTGGGTATTAATGAGAAAAGGAATCTCGAAAAGGTATATTAATATAATAAATTTATAATTTAGTAACTTACAACTCAAATTAATTTTTTTCAATTTAATTTCACTTTTCTAACACACAAGTTAAAAAAAATAACTAACCTGTTTAGCCTAAAGATTAAATAAAAGAAGATCAATTATGTGATTAATTTTAAATTATTCTAAAAGTATAATAAAAAATTAAAGAAAAAAGTGTTTTAAGCATTTTAACCATTTGACAAGTCAATATCTAGTCGATTAACCGCAAAAAAATTTGACTAGTCTAAAACCCAACCCTAATAATAATACTACTAATATAATTTTATTGAGTTAAAATACATATAATAAATTATTTTCAGTAAGAAACTTGCACTTTGTATCACATTTAGTCAACAGTAAGAGTATTAGTGATTTACAAATTATTTTAAAACAAAACCAATCAATTTTAATTCAACAATTCAATAAGATTTTGGATGAAATAAAAGTTAGTAGTATGATTTAATAATAGGTTAGTGGTACAAATTATAATTTGAAGTTCAAAAATAATTAATGCTGTATGATTATTTAAAAAAAAAACCATTTTTTGGCAAACAATTTTAAATTAAGTTACAAACATTTAAATACATAGAATATGTATGTAACCCGCAGGTAGGTGCATTTTATACTAATGTATGTATATTCTGCCCACACTCCATGTATGTAGTGAACAAAATAAGGATGCCTCCCAATACATTAATGTAAAAAATATTTATTTATTTATTTTTGAAAGGTCGTTATCACTTATTTTAGTTAAGAGGAAAAATTAATTAAATTCAACTTATAATTTTCTTTGTTTCAAATTAGGATGCAAAGACAGAAGCCGATTCAAACCTTGTTTATTTGGAAATATTAAGAGATTCTTGTCTAAAAATGTATGATGTTTCCTCACCTGATCAAATCATAAGTATTTTACCAAATATGTATTTGAAATTTTTCTTTATTTTTGAGGAATCGCCTTATTACAACAAATGGTAAAGTATATCAAAATATAAGAATAATAAACTAATCATAATTTTTAATTATATATAATAGGTCCGATATAAGTCGATTATTTGATTATTTAGGTAATCAAATAGTATATGTGTGTCGAAAAACAATAAAACTCAATGAGCTTTTTAACGGAAATCCCGAATCTGTTTTAAATAAATTAGATTTATCTATGGAAGTATGTGAAAATTACATTCGAACATATACTGAGGTAAAACATTTTCAAATAATAAATAAAAACCTAATTAATTACATTAATTAAATGTTGAATAATAATGTAGACAATTAATATTTATAATGAAAAAAGTTACAAAGAACTGACAGTCCAAACAAAGGATGTGTATTTATTTTTGGAACGATGTAAAGATGTTAAATACATATGCAAGGCCATAATTATCTTTAAAAGGTTAAAAGCGTTAATTTTACACATACAAATTTAAATATTTTTTTTTATTCAGACAAATAAAAACATTATAATATAATAATACAATCAGGAGTGGACTGAGACCACTAAGCCCAGATCCTTATATTTAAAAGAGACTCTTTATATCGTAAAGATTTTTCTTATTTACCCATCTCTTGTAATTTTAAGTTGTGCATAAAGTTCAAGTATAACGTTGTTAGATGACTCATATGACAATAGCTCACTTGCTAGTCCACAACTGAATAAATATTTTACATCAAATTATTTGTTTTATTTATTTAGTAAGTAGATGATAATTTTTAGATTTAATGGCCAATATCCAATACCAAAACCTCAATTTTCATTTACTAAAGGGTTTGAATTTGAATCAATAATAGAATCTGTAGATAATCGGTTTGATAAAATGATAAATAATTTGGAAAATGTTAAAAATGTAATATTTAATGTGAACTCAACTGATTGGTTTGAACATGACTTGGCGTACGTTTTTTTGGATGTATTATAGCAATAATTTAAATAAAATATAAATTTATTTTTACTTTTCTTAAAAGTATACTTATATATTGATGCATTTAATGCTTGGGGGTCTTAACTCTATTAATTATTCCTCAGATTGGACCTATGTTTAACTAATAAAGATTATATTAATTTTTACGAATCTAAAAAATATAGATTTAAAAATGGTGTAAAAGAATTGTGCGAAATATTGGAACAGCTTTTAACTGATGCACTAAGTGTTACATGTAATGCAGAGGATGCAATAAATGTTTTCAAAAGTTTGCACTATTTTTCTGCATGGCCCGATCTAAAAAATCATTTTCAAAATAAAACTAACGAAGTGTATAATATGGTAGTCAATGAAATTTCCTCTGCATTGCACTTTTACACAGACAACGAATATCAAATTCCATTATTTATGCCAGCTTATTCAGGGATCTGCATGTTATCAATGATAGAATACAAAAGAATAACATACCTCAAGACGGTATTCAACTCTTTTACTATACAGAGTGGAACAGATCTAATAGACAACTCATATAACTTATGATCTACATAACAAATTATTTTTTATTTTTTAACTAATTTTTACAAAATGAGATTATATTTTAAATGTGTTTTATGTTATTTTATGCGATTTCAAAAAATATTTAAAAATGATGTGATTTATTTTCCATAAAATATATTAATATTTAAACAAGCTTTTTACAGAAATGATTATGGCTTTATTAATAAAATGTAACATATATTTGTAATGGCGAAAAATAACAAAACATAATTTAAGCATAAATTATGTAAAAATTGTAAAAATTAATTTTAATAGAACCCAGTACAGTGGTGACATGGCATTGTTGGATTAAATATAATGATATCTGACAGTGATTAAAATCACAATCATAAAAAACACTTCGATGCAAATCATTAGACAGTGTTTAATTTTATAAAATTGGTGGATTATTTTAAATCTACATGATCTCCTATTTCCTTATTTATATCCTGATTACAAGTTTTATGATTTATGAGTAATAAATGAACAAATATATAAATATATAAAAGGATATGGTTTTATTTAAAAAGAAAGTATGTTGAATGAAAAAGGGATATTAATATTATTTATCATAAAAAAAATTATGAAGATCCATACACTTTTCAATAAGTTGTAGCATTATAAAGTTTAAAATGTAAAAAATAAAATCGAAAATTTCCACACAAAAATAGCATTTAGTACCCATTTTCACCGTGAAGACAAAATAAAGTATGAAATTTTTTTTTTTTCAATAATAAAGTATATTACATTTGCTTTAATTTAAGATATATATAAAAGTGTCAGATTTTTCGGAACACTTTCAAAAGTTATGTTGAAAAAGTTGTCATTTTAAATCCCCCCTAAGGGGAGGTAAAAAGTCAGATTTATAAAAAAATATACCAAAGGATAGGTAAAGACATCAAGCATCTATAAAAAAAATATATATTGATTTGTTCATTTTTGAAAAAGTTATAGTAGTTTTAAGTAAAAAAAAGTTGTAACTTTTTTGGATGTTTCTCTCATTCACGGGGAACGAGGGAAATTTTTTCAATTTTTTAGGGTAATGTCTTCAACTAGATAAAATTTTTGATCTTTTGACGTGTTGTTTAAAAAAATTTGTTCGGTGAGAGCTGAGAAAAAATGGTAACAAACACTAAAAAAAAAAAATATCTAAGGTATCTATAAAAAATTATTCTGATTCAACCAATTTCAAAAAGTTATTCTTCTCAGCTTTGCATTAAAGCTAAAATCTATAGCTATATTCAAAATCAAATTTCCAAATTATGAGTACAAATAAAACAATTAATTGGGTAAAGATACATAAGATTAAAATTTGAGGTGGCATTTTTCTTCATAAACTTTTTACTTATACTCAGTAATTTTTGTATAGGTTACCTCCTTAAACATACTGGTCATATGAATGGATTCTCATTACAGATATAAAATAAAAAAAAAACACAGCATAGTAAAACCAATATCTTCTCAGCTTCGCATCGAAGCTAAAATAGTATAAAATGTTATGTAGATAATTAGTTATATGAGTTGTCAGTTAGATCTCCTTTACTGTATATTGAACCTATTTTACTTATCAAATTTTTACAGATATTAAATGAACATCCTAGACTTCTGAGTTGTTCGAATGAAAGCAGTTTCAATGTAATGTACAAAAGATATACGGACAGATACAAATATGAAGTTACAAAAATATTTAAATTGTGGTTATACCAAATTTCAGTAAATAGTAAAAATATTGAAAAACAATTGGAAAGATATCTCATTTATGCAAATCAAAACTATAATTATTGGAATTTATCAACAAATTTTGATTGGTATACTTACAGACATTATAATTTTTCTGCCTATTTCATTCTTTTGATCCAATTTTTGTTGTTCATGCGCAAACACATTTTTAGTGACTTACTAAACTTAATAAACGAAACTGAAAATTGGTCGTTGATGAAATTTAACATTCCACTTAATCCAAAAACTATTGTTTTAAATGCACCAAAAATAAAAAATTTACATAGAAATGTAACAAAAATTGTCAATGACTACAATTATTTAATTTCAGGTATTTTTATAATTTATTTCTTTGAGAGGTTTAGTTTTATAAAGTTATGTTTCCATGCCACAGATATAATAAGATTGACATTGCATTTATTTATTTTAAAACTATAAAATTAAAAAAATTAAATAAAAAATTTAATTTTAATTCGTTTTAAGTTAAAATAAATTTTTATAGGTTTGTCAGAAGATGAAATGATTTTGTTCAGTGAAGAAATTGCAATATGCAATAAGTCAACATTACCAATGGTTCATAAGTACAAATGGAGCGAATTAGAATTTGATAATTATTTAATAGAGCCATATTTTATATTAGATTCAGTAATTATAACCTTACTAAAAATTAATCTCACGTCGCGACGACGCGTCGACCCAGATATTTTATTTTATAAAAAATATTTTTACTTAATCACTTTTAGATAGAAAATTGTTTCAATAAATATAAATATTGTACTATGGAAATAATTGAAGCTTGTGAAAAAATTACACAATTTCCTTTGTTCAAAGTTAAGGAAGTGCGAGTATTAAAACTACAAGCATTGAAAAAATGCATCGAAATTTACAAGTAAGATTTTATTAACAATTTTGATATTGTTTTTAATTTTAAGTTTTTAGAAGCAAAATGATTAAATCGATTTGGAATTACTACAATGAAGTAATTAAATATGTAGCAGTTATTTATAATATGCTCTCAGATCACATTCACAAGGTGAGTTAAGTATAAATATTGAATATTAAAAAATTAGTAAAATATTTTGGAATATTTACAAAGAAATAACATTTGTAACGTTTGATTAAACTTTAAAATTTTTAATTTTCAAAATTAAATAATTGTATAAAATCGTATTATAAATATATATATATTAAATATATTAAAAAAGTAATGCATTTAATTCATAAAATAAATATAATCTTTATTTTTTTTCAATAAAATATAATCGTATATTTCTTGCGATTTTAAGTTGATAAATAATAAATTATACAGAACTATTGAAGACTTTTAGACAAGAAAAATATTTAATTATTTTAAAAATCTAATTAACATATGATTTTTTGTAGGTCATAAAATATTGGACACTTTTTGTCGAGAAAATAGATTCTCTAATTTGTGAAGCTTTAACTCTCAACATTAGATGTTCACTTGAAAATTTTTTGGATCTTAGTGCCGGAGATGGTTATGGTTTAATACCATTTATTTTAATTGATATAAGCATAATAAACAAAAAAGTAAAAAATTTTAAAAAAAAGACAATAATTAGTAGAACACAAAACATTGTAATAATTATTTATTATTTATCTTTTTAAACAGATCGTTCTCTCTTCCAGTTATACTGAACTGTTAGCTTTTTCTGTTAATTTTATGCAAGATTTACTTTTAACCATTGCAATATTACCAAGACTCAGCCATGTATTTAAATTATCGGAATCTGATTCAAAATGTTACAAGGAAATAATTTCACACGACTCGATTTGTAATCAGTTACATAAGAAAAATATATTAAGTAAATGCACAAACACGATATTAAATTTTTATCTGCTTTTACTCAAACAAATTTTTATAGTGATAAAACTACATAACTGATGACTGAATACTTGATTTTTGTCTAAAATTAACTCTTCATAATTACATTTATTGTTTCATTTGTGTATTATTGAGTGTTTACTAGTTCCATCTTTTATAGTTCTTAAAAGTGTTTACTTATATTTTTCAAATGAATAAAATTTAATTAATCGTAAAATGTTTTTTTTTATAAGAAATAGTACTTATATGTTTTTAATAAAAAGTATTACTTTTTCTTTCTGATGGTGATAGGTATGTATATTTTTTTTTTATGGCGAATTAAGATACAGCTTACAATGACGTTTGTTGAAACATTATTGAAAATAATATTAAGGTAGTACTTACCACTTAAATAATTCAACAATTATTGTTAAATAAATAACTCTATTGCATAATAACTCTATTAATTAAACAATACAGTGCAATAACATGAAAACTAATAAAATATGTAACGAAGAAGATCAATAAAAAATTGAGCATGATTATTTATTAAATAAAATATCTATTCAAATCATTAAATTTAACACCTTTATGATATAAAATAGAGGAATTTAAAAAACAATAAATAATAAACTGGGTTGGATTAAGAAAATTTGAATCATTGAATGACTGGTATTTTTTAACTTATTATATGACTTTGAAAGTTTGTTCCAAAAATAATCAACTTTAATGGATTACAATTTGTCTTTCCAGCCTCATTTATAGAGAATTATTGAGATTAATATAATTCAGACCTAAAAATAAATAAATTGAAAATAATCCCTAAAATTATTCTTTTAAGGAATTTTTTATGATCAACAGTCACTTTGTTAAGTAAAGATGATGGCAGGGGGTTAAAAAAACTTTATATTTAAATATAATTTTTAAATAAAGTTAACAACGTTAATCTGTTCATTGTATTTTTTAATTTTAGTAACTATTAGAGCATTAAGATGTTTAAAAAACTTTATGCATACTTTTAAAAAATATGAAAATATATGGACTGTTAACAAAGAAGTATTCATGAATAAATACAAGGCTTTATCTCCATCATCTGATGAGTTCAATATAGACATGGATCAGTAATAACAATTTTGATATGTATACATAATTTTTTTGAAATTGATATTTCTTACCAATTTTGTATTTAGGTATAAAATGTTTAAAGAAGAAGTATCAAACTTAATTCCAGTATCTCAAGTTTCACACTACTTAGTTCGAACGAACATGTTAATTGATGCTATCGTAGAACATTGTGAAACATGGTATTTAAATTTTTCAAAATTGCTACATCAATTAACTATTGACCACATTGAAAATATTAATCAATACATAAAAACCTACAGTGATCGGTATAAACTAACTAATTTAATTTTGATATGAAAAAAAATCATTTTTATATAACAATTTCAATTTAGATTATTTAAGTCGCCGTTAAATTTAACGGAAGCAATACATTTTATAGAATTTCATAATAAAATATCTAAAGACTATGAACTTAAGGAAAACGAATTTTCTGCAATATCAATAAATATTAAGATTTTAGGTAATATTCTTTATAAGAAACCTTTAATGGTTCTTTAACTATTTAATAAATATTATTTTTCAAATACTTTTTAGAAAGACAAAAAATTCAAACTGCTGATTTATTAATAGCTGATTATCAAAAATTATTACGAGCTTGGAAAAAGTATAAAAATATAATTGAAGACGCAGCAATAATGTCAAAAATAAAATATAATCATTTCAAAAACGCAAAAGAAGAACCTAAATAGTATTTTATAATTTGAATCACCTAATGACCTAATATTATAATTTAAAATGATAAATTTTTATGTATAAAATTTGTGAAATAAAAATAAAAGATCCTTAACATAAAAAGCTAACTAACTTTTGTTCAAAAAAAAATGTATTATAAATTAAAATCATGTTTTATTTTATAAAATATGAATAATTGTTGTTTATCGTATTTAGATTCCATATTAGATTAAGACAAAGCAATTTTTGTTTAAACTCTTTTAGATTTACGATAATTATTTTTAATATAAATAAAAATAAAAAAAAATGCATTTCTAACACACAATATAAGTAACCTTAATAATATAAATGAGTTAATTTTAAAAACTGAAATTTAACCATCTAAAATATATTAGATCTATAAATAATACTGATTTGCAGGTTCTATAATTTTTGTAGTTTTTTACTCTATGACTCTTCTTATCATTCCTCGCCTTAATCCTAACTACTTGGAGTCAGCCATCCTATTCTAAACTTCCACTTGACACGATATCCCACATCATCTTCGCTCACAACAGCCGTCCTCATATTGCATTCAATAACATCCCTCCATCGCTTTATTGGTTTTCCTTTACTCTATGCTTACTCTTTTATTTACTCTTTACTCTCTTCATTTCATTACTCTATGACTGATCACTATAGTATTATAATTAGAATATTTGTTTACTAGCTCAATATTCTTTATAGTAACAAAATCATTATTCTCAAGGAATATTTCAAAAATTAAAAAAAAGGTTTTAATAACTTCAATAATTGAAAATATAATACGAGTATACTTTATGTGTTTTAAGTTCTCAAATTCTATGAGGAAACATTGAAGGATTTAGAGGACATCGGGACCAAAGCTGTTTTTAAGATTTACAAGGCTTAGGACAATAATAGATGTGAGACAATCTACGTCATTTTTCTCACAACAACGAGGCCCCGACACATTAAACTCTGTTGAAGCCCTCTAAAGACGGTCCTATTTAAACCTCATATTTTAAATGCAAAAAAAGGTTATTCATTAATACGCTTATATTAGTTTCACCTGTATGTATGTATGTATGTTAGTAACTCTCCACGCGTTATCGCATATTCCGTCGTCTATGGCCTTGAGTCTAGACTGTCATAACGCATTCACCCCACCCCACGCATCGCTCACTACACGACGGCTACACTATTCCTGTATAAATTTATTTTTGGTTATCGTACCCGTACACGCGTGCCTGTTATCAATATTATATATATATAAACAAATTTTTATTTTCACTGACCAATACCATCCGCGTGCTATACGGCTTACGTATATATTCCTACCGCCGTTTATACCTCAGGTATAACGTTAGTAAGACCCGCCCGCTCATCAAACACAGCTATACCTAGTGCATGATACGTTTACGTACTTGAGTCGCTTTACTTGTATATATATATATATATATATACAGGGTGTTCAGTAAGTCAGGAAACGGGTTTCCTGACTTACTGAACACTCTGTATAGATATAAAGTATTCATTCCGATTACGAGGATTTCCGTATCGTCATTTTTCGTCACTACCTCCACGTTCCGGGAGTGAGTAATTTGCGCGCCTGCTGCTTTCCTTGGATGTGGTAGCCGTTTCTCTGACTACCTCTCCGGAATCGAACTCTGATTTCCCGTTACCCGTTACAACCATGATATTGATATTAACTATTATCATAACATGAAACTAAAAAGTGAAAAATAAATATAGTTTAAAAAAACTAAAAAACACGCTTTTAAAGCACATCGAACTAAAAGTTAAAAGTAATTTTTAAAAGCGTGGGGGCTTTGTGCCATATTTTTCGTATTTGAGCGCCCGACGCTTTTATTACAATAATACTAGTATTTTTTGTTCATAATTATTTTAAAAATTATTTTTAACTTTTTAGTTCGATGTGCTTTAAAAGCATGTTTCATTAGTTTTTTTAAACTATATTTTTTAAAATTATATTTTTAATTCTTACCAAATTGTCCACCTATGCAGTCAAAGAGAGTTCTATTTCAACAATGAACATTACATCCATGTTTTTTAACGTATAAATTAATAATTTAAAATGTTTGTTTCTTAGAAGTAATTAATTTACTTATTCTATAATAAGAAATATTATTCATTAACATATTACCTCTTGTTTGCAGGTTTGTGTAAATTGATTTTTTTTTGTTCTGAAAAATATATTACACTTTGCAATTAGCACTAATTAGTTTTGAAAATTTCTAACAATATATACATTATAATTTTTGCATTGATTTAATCAATGATCTAGCACTTATAATATCTATCTCTTACACTTTAGGTAGTCAGACTTACAAATACATAATTTCAACTTCTTATAACGCATTTAATCACTTAATATAACTATATTTTATGATTATTAGCAAAGTAATTAATAATTATTATTTTTTTATTTTATGAAAAGTGTCTGTCAAACATAATGGTATTTCTAAACATTAACAACTATCTTTTACCAATAAAAGTGCATTATTTTCTTTTTGATGCAGGTAAGTTATAAGCAAACAATATTAGAAATAAGAAAACTGTGAGAGTAAACAATAATATTTTTCAAAAAATTATTGATAAATATTCAAGATTTTACTGTAATAAATTTCATAAAAATACGAAAATACGAATAATAATACTAAAAGAAATTGTTATAAGATAGTATTTAGTTATACTTTTGTTGTTTATGATAAGGTAGTTTTATAAAACTTTCTTTTTTTTTTTTTCATTTTTTGTATCTATGAAACTTCATTTTAAGTTCAAAACTTAAAAATGCATATAGAATGTAATCTTTTTCAACTTAATTTTTGAAAGTTTTCCGGAAAAACTGACACTTATATATATATATCTTAAATTAAAGATAATGTAATATACTTTATTATGATTAACAATGTCGGACTTTATTTTATTTACACGGTGAGAATTTAAAATTTTTAACTTTATAATGCTATAACTTTTTGAAAACTGTATAGATCATAATAATTCTTTTTATGATAAGTACTATTACTATAAATACTACTATATATTCTTAATTTATGCGACATACTTTATTTTAAATCGGATTTATAAATGATAAAACTTGTAATAAGGATATAAATAAGGAAATATGACATCATGTGTGCTTTTGGAATAATCTACCAATTTTTTAAAATTAAACACTTTTACAGATTTGCATCCAAACGTTATTTATGATAGTGATTTTAATCACTGCCATATATCATTTATTCTGGACCCAATTACGCTACGTCCCCATTATACTGGGGTTATAAACAAACAATATTAGAAATAAGAAAACTCTGAGAATAAACAATAATTTTTTTCAAAAATTTATCAATAAATATTCAATATTTTACTACAATAAATTTTATAAAAATACGATTATAATACCAAAGAAAAGAAATTGTTATAAGATAGTATTTAGTTATACTTTTGTTGTTTATAATAAGGTTGTTTTATAAAACTTTCTTTTGCTTATCATTTTTTTTTGTATCTATGAAACAAAAATTAATAACTAACATTATTCATATATTTGTATATTTTATAAGCACAATAATTATTTAAATTTTTATCTATTAATAATTCATAAAATTTAAAATAATGAATAATACAATATTAATAAGTTTGTTTAATATTTAAGATGGTTACGTTTTTAATCATTTAGTACAATTTTTTTTTCTTATCGTAATATTTAAATATTTTATTATAAAATACCAAACGTAATTTATTGTTTCGTATAACACGTTTCATATATATGTACAATACAATAAAATACATTTCAAAAATTTTTTATTTTTTTACTTATTAATAAATTTTAGGAATAATATGGTATTAGATAAACATATAGCTTTTAGTTTGGGTATTTTAATTGCAACCACCAAATGAGAGTACCACATTGAAAAGATATAATTAAAATATTAAAAATTTAATGTATATTTTATTGATTTTTAGAGCATATTTTAATATACAGGGTGTAAATCTTTCGAACCATAGTAATGTATGGGCGAGTATCTCGGCAAAATGTAAAATAGGACCTCGTTTTTTTTTTTTTTTTTTTTTCAAAAATTGGAGGTATTTTGGAATAACACCCTCCGAATTTCGCTAAAATTAAAAATAAATCATACCACAATATTTCCCGCAAAATTCTCATACAAATTGAGTAGTTACTCGATTTTTTGTAACTTTTACGCCTTCCCTTGAACTTTGGGTTCAAAGTTGGAAAAAAATTTCACATTAGTATGACCCATCAATTTGTATTGTAATTTTACAGAGAGTCCTGTGATGTAGTTTATTTTTAGTTTAAACGATTAAATAACAAAAAAAAACCGAAAAAACCTACAAATAATGTAATATTTATGCATTTTTATTGCATAAAAAAAGAAGCTATATTTTAAAGGTTATCTAATATTATGTGCAACTTAATTAGTGACTATTCAATAGTGAATAGTATTTTTCGAACATTTAAATAAACATTAACAAGCTCAGTGATGTACCATATTCTCATTATTGATTAATTTCGAAAAAGAGTAGTGTGCCGATTACATTAAAATAATTATTTCTAATTATCCTATTGTAATAAAGTTAAAAATATTTATTTCAGTATTATGATTGTTTTATTTTCCCGACCTAAAAAGAAAAAAATTTATAATTTTATAACAGTTCAATGATAAAAATTATAATCGGTTTGAATAAATAATAAAAGACGAAATAAACTCGTGAAATTAAAAAAATATCACATTATTTGTAGGTTTTTCGGTCTTTCTTGTTATTTAATCGATTAAACTAAAAATAAACTACATCACAGGACTCCCAGTGAAATTTCAATACAAACTGATGGGTCACACAAATGTGAAATTTTTTTCCAACTTTGAACCCAAGGTTCAGGGGAGGGCGCAAAAGTTACAAAAATCGAGTGACCACTCAATTTGTATAAGAATTTTGCGGGAAATATAGTGGTATTATTTATTTTTAATTTTAGAGAAATTCGGGTGGTGTTATTTCAAAATTCCTCCAATTTAGGAAAATAAAAAAAAAACGAGGTCCTATTTTTTACTTTACTAGGATACTCGCTCATATATTACTATGATTCGACAGATATAAACCCTGTATATTTTGTACGTTTTTGTGCTTATTAGCGTGATTATTTCATAGTTTTTATTACATAAGATTCTCAACCCCATTTATGACTTTTTTATCAACCAACAAAAAAATGTATATATTTTATCATCCTTCGAAAGTTAAATTAATAACAAAATTGCAGATGGTTTATTAAAGTTTTATTACTATAAACTTGAATAATTCTAGGTAATTCTCCTATCAACCCGTTCTTGTCGACTATTGCAAAACAACGAGGCTATTCTTCATCAATTGTTGGTGACATTATAACGTTTTTTATGTTATTAAATGTAGTGGTAAAACCACTCACCGGCTTCGTTACTGATAAATGGAAATGTCGGAAAACAGTATTTTTAGGTGCAATATTACTCAACGGATTAATAACACCCACTTTGTACTTCATACCTGATGCAACGTCCACAACGGGTGAAATACCTAACTCGGAAGTATTTTGTTCCTGGTCGTTTTGGCTGTTCACAACAATAGTCATACTAAGGATGATGCTTTTTATGATTGGTGAAGTTCTTCAGGAAACGATCTGTATGCAAATTCTAGGTAACACAAAAAAATAATATGATTAACTTATTTTCATTTCAAATATCAACAGAAAAATAAAAGCGTTTATCAAATGAAAGGACTTAAAATGAGTCTAAAACCCAACCCAACCCAACCTCTCATAAACTTAACTAAGAAAAAAATATAAATTTTTAAGGTTTTTAGCAAGTAAACATTAATGGTACATAGATGTTGATTTACAGAAAATAAAGTCCATGCAATCAAATTAAACAAATTAATGTACTATTTCTACATATTGTTCTATTTTTTTAACAGACGGAGATACGAAAAAATTTGGAGAACAAAGACTATGGGGAGCCGTTGGATGGGGTGTTACGTCAATTATAGCGGGAAGTATAATTGACTGGTACAGCAAGGGCCAAGAACATAAAAACCATCTACCAGGATATTTGCTTTCAATGATCATATTTTTCGTTGATTTTATGGTAGCACGAAAATTAAAGGTATGTAATGTAGACATCATGACAGAGTTGCCCGCATGGGGATAGTCAATAGATTCTTTTTGTACTACTTAGAATTTTTGATGTCACTATCAAAAACCTAATACAAAAACACAATCCTAACTACCAAATCTTTTCAAATCAGACAAAATTCCACCCAAATCGAATCTGACATTATTAGTATTAAAGATCTATATCAGTTAAAAGAATTTTCATTAATAATTTTGATTTAAAAAAAATTGTTTATGATAGATTTAATATATTGTAATTATCGCATAGTATTATGTTTATTGTCATTATAATATTAATTTTTGCCTTGCCAATTTTATTAACCAAATTAAAATTGCAATTTAATCTTTGTCAAAGTTTCCGCCAAAGATTAATATACTTCTAAATTTTAAGTGTTAATTTATCAAAAGTGATCCTCTCTAAAACTACTTTTAGAGTAGTTTAGTGTTCTGCTATCACCAAGTTGCTGATTAAGGCGTCTGGGTACCGACCGCTTTTTAGTAAAAATCAACCCGTTTTTGTTCCATCAGTACGACGAAACTACTGATGCGATAAAAATTCTGAAGACTTAACTGAATTCAGTATCATGTCACTTAGGTATCGGTCAGGCCATATTTTTGATATTTTGATGTTTTAACCCTTTATTATAGTTTACATTTTCGAATAATTTTAAAATTTTCAAAATAAATTTTTACGTTGAAGGAATCATAATTACAAAAAATTGGCCTGACCGATACCTAAGTGACATGATACTGAATTCAAATTTGTTTTGAGAATTCTTATCGCATTAGTAGTTTCGTCGTACTGATGGAACAAAAACGGGTTGTTTTGTTCGCTCATACTAATGGTTTTTAAACAATAGCAATTCTATATGACATGTCGTGCGCGTATGTGCGTTATCCGCAACAGCTATTTTATTGTCCATAGGTTGCATAGGGCAATACCGCTGCCTAAAAATAGTTACAAATGCATACTTGATATTATACCTGAATATATGATATTTGATTATTTGCTTATATCTTACTTTCAAAGTTATCATTGCATAGTAAGAAACAAATTTTGTTGTTGTATTCCTATATAATTGTCGCTAAAAAAATGAGGTCATAAAAAAATATCGTTATCAAAAAAAAAAATATATAGAGGTAATATATTAACATTATATAAGTGCCGTAAAAAAAATATAGTTTAAAAAACTAAAAAAACACGCTTTTAAAGCACATCGAACTAAAAAGTTAAAAATAATTTTTAAAATAAGTTTAAAATAATTTTGAAAAAAAATACTAGTATTATTGTGATAAAAGCGTGGG